ATATATATATATATATGAAGTGCTGGCAAGTCAATTTCAATTCACAGCAGCCTGTTATAGGGTTTCTCATGGGGGTGCCGCTGAATTTGAGCTGCCAACGTTGTGGTTAGCAGTCCAGTGCTGATCCTACAGTACTACAACGCCACACCAGGTGCTGCAGAATAATGCACTGGACTGCAAGGTTGGCTGGAACCCCAAGGTCAGTGGTTCAAACTCACCAGCCGCTCCTAGAAAACCCTATACAGGGCCGCTATGTGTATATGTGATCCCTGCTGGTGCTGGAGGATAAACACTGAACTGCTAACCTGCTAACTCCAAGGTTGGTAGTCTGAATCTACCAGCTATTCCCTGAGAGAAAGATGAGGCTTTTTGCTCTCGATTTACAGCCTTGGAAACCATATACGGGGCCTCCGCGAACTGAAATCTGTCTGATGATACAGAGTTAGGGATTATGTATGTATATATATATGTTGTTGTTGTTATGTGCCTTCAAGTCTGTTCTGACTCATAGCAACCCTGTAAAAGGGTTTCCAAGGCTGTAAATCTTTATGAGAGCTGAAAGCCTCATCTTTCTCCCATAGAACAGCTAGTAGTTTCGAACTGCTGACCTTGAGGTTCGCAGCCCAATTCATAACCACTACACTACCAGAGCTCCATATTCTCTCTCTCTCTCTCTCTCTCTATGTATATATATATGTTGTTGTTAAGTATATATGTGTGTGTATATATGTGTGTATATATATGTGTATGTATATATATATATATATATATATATATATATATATATATATATATATATTAGCACCTGTGGATGGAACTACCCTTGTAAACAAGGCACAGGGCCTGTGGGCTCCCACGGAACTGACAGCCCGGTGCCTGGTGCAGGCTCTGGGAGAACCTCCTGGCCCAGCCCGGAGCTGCCTCTCCATAAGCTGCTCCTTTGTGGGCCCAGGGCTGCCTTGTTGCCCAGTTCCAAAGCACATTCTATACCTGCTCTATTTGTGAACTCAGCACTCCTTGGAATTGGGGTTGCCTTGAGTGGAGCAGTAAGAGGCCAGCCGCCCCCAGTGTCTGTAACTATAGGGCATCCTGCCTCTCCCCAACTGGCCCCCCTGTCCCTGTGTGCCCAGATATTTGAGCGCGAGACCCGGCGGGAGAAGATCCTGGAGGCTAGGCACCGGGAAATGAGGCTGAAGGAGAAGGGCAAGGCTGAGGGCAAGGAGGAGGAGCTGAAGGAGGAGGAGGCCGCCGTAGACCTGCAAGAGCTGGTCTTCAAGGCCGAGGAGGAGTTCTTCGACATCATCTTCACGGAGCTGAAACGGAAGGAGAAGGACGCCCTGAGCAAGAAATCACTGCCCGTAGGACCAACCACAGCAGGGCCCATCGGGCTGGGAGCGGGGCGGGGACATTCCCTCTGGGCTGATTTCCAGGAGTCGCTGCTCCTAGGACCAACCCCAGCAGGGCCCGTGGAGCTAGGGGCGGGGTGAAGGTGTGCCTCCTGGGCTGATTTCCAGGGTGGCTCAAGCTTTGTTCCAATCCATCCAGAGGAAACCTAAGTCTCCAAACAGACTTCAGATTCCTTGGGGGCAGGCTCTTAGGTCTGTGTGAGTGTTCTCCCTTCCCCACCCTGGGGCACCTGAAATGTGCATGCTGATCCACTAAGTGGGGATTTGGGGGATAAGTGTTGAGGTCCCCAGAAGACAGGGCTGTGAATGCCATGGGGTGTGTGGTCCTGGGTCCCCAAGGCCTGGGACCAGGGATGTGACGTGATATATATAGGTGTGTTTATAGGTGTATGTATATGTTCATCAGCCCGTGGTCCCAGCATTTAGCTCTTTCTCCAGTGCTGGTCACTTAACTTCCTGAATCCTCAGTTTTCTGTCTGGAAAATGAGGAGCTTGAGCTACAAAGCTGGTGTCTGGCTACCTGTTTTCTTGTACTAGGGAACAGAGACAGAAAAGATGGTGTTAGGATGGGTCATTGCCTTTTTGGGCCGGTAGACACAATGCTGAGACATGAATGAGCAAATGCACCATTGTCATGGAAGATACCAGAACAAGCAAGTGTATGCCAGTATCTAGCCTTGTGAGCAGGGCCAGCCACATAATTTGTGAAGCCTAGTTCTGGTGTTATGCTATAGGATAAGCACTGGACCGAGGGGTCAGTTTAACTACAAAGTTGACAGTTCAAACTCATAAACCACTCCTCGGAAACCCTATACAGGGTTGCTATGAGTCTCAACTGACTCGACGGCACTTAACAACGAGTACAAAATGGTAGGGGCTCTGATGGCACTGTGGGATAAGCACTGGATTGTTAACTTCAAGGTCAGCAGTTCAAACCCACCAGTCACTCTGAGGGAGAAAGTTGAGACTTTTGTGCCCGTGAAGAGTCACATCCTCGGAACCCGTGTACAAGGTCACTGCCATCAGCTCGTTAATAGTAGATGTGGTGTTTCCCATTCAGTACAAAATGGATCTCACTTTGGCAGCACGTAAGGAGCTCTGGTAGCGTAGTGGTTACGAATCGGGCTGTAAACCTTAAGATCAGCGGTTCGAAACTACCAGCCGCTCCGCGGGAGAAAGATGAGACTTTCTGCTCCCGTAAAGATTTACACCCTCGGAAACCCTGTACAGGGTCACTATGGGTCGGAACCGACTTGATGGCACTTAACAACAATAGTGGTGTGGCACTGTGGGATCAGCACTGGTCAGCGGTTCACACCCCCCAGCTGCTCCTCAGAAGCCGTATACAGAGTTGCTATAAGTTGGAACCGACTCGATGGTGCTTTAACAACAACTTATATAAAACTAGAATGCTACAGAGACTGTTAGCATGGTCCCTGGGAAAGGATGACATGCCAGTTTGTAAACCGTTCCATGTTTGTTAGCACCCTGGTGGCATGAAGTCTTGCAGCCTTGGAAACCCCAGGGGCGGTTCTGTGCTGTGAATCCAAATCAATACGATGGCAGCGAGTTTGATTTGTATTTTTTTTTAGTACAAAATGAGACTAAACTCACTGCCCTCGAGTCGTTTTTGACTCCCAGAGACCCTCTATGAGGCTCTCTTCCGGAGTGCAGGCAGCCTCATCTTTCTCCTGTGGAGCATCCAGTGGGGTTGAACCGCCAACCGTACGATTAGAAGGCCAACACCTAGCCCACAGCTCCATCAGAGCTCCTACAGTGAGAATGGGGGTCTCATTAAAAAATTATTAAGGATTTCAAGATGGACATAGTCAAGCATTCAATCAAGTGAGGGGCCGACCCTTCTAAGCGCAGGTGTTGACTGCTCAGGTTGGATGTTGCCAGTGTGCTGGGCCCTGAGGTGTTATTTCAGCCCTGTCAGGTCCCATGCCTACCTTAGAGCTGAGGAGCTGGGACTCAGGAAGGAGCTGGTCCGATGGAGCCCAGGCAGACAGCAGAAGCAGCAGGCTTAGTCCGGGGTCTGCAGCTGTAGCTGGGCATCCAGAGGCTCTCAGCAGCCCCAGGCTGTCAGCATCTCTCAGCAAGACTTAGCTGCAGGTGGAAAGGCCTGCCCCCATCAGCATGGTGGATGTCTTTTCACCATAGACACACAGTCAGGAAGAGGAGGAGGAGGAGCTGCTGGAGCAGGAGATGGAAGGAGAGGAAGAAATGGAAGAGAAGGAGACCTCAGCCTAGAAAGTCAGCCTTCAGCCACAGCCCAGCTCCCTTTCCACCTCTGGCATGGTCTTGCATTTACAAGTATCACTGTTTGAGGGAGGGCAGGGGAGAAGTGGGGGTCCTGGCTCACACTGACCTCCTGGAGGGAGGAAAGACACTGCTCCCCCATTGGCCTCAACCACCCTGAAGACCACCGCATCGCCCTGTCTGGTCCTGGATGTCCTCTTTGAGTTCCTGGCAATCAACTTCCTCCACAGCTTGCATAGCCTCTTTGGGGCTTGTTTTAGCCAAACAAAGCCCTGGGAAGATTGAGGAGGCCTTCACCTCCCTCCATAGTGAACTCTACTGTCCATTGGTGGGAACCAAGAAAGTCCACCCACTTAGACCTTATCTGTCAGTCACTCTGTTGGATCCTTTGGCTCACAGGCATGTGGGAGCTTGTGTCAGAGCTTCCGGTGACACAGGTGTGGTTACATTTGTGGCTCGGAAGCTTCCTGTTACCTTGCTCTTGTAAAATTAAATGAATGACGATGATGTAAACAGTTAGTGCTCTCAGAGCTTCTTGGGTGTTTTTTTCACACCATTGGTAAGAACTCACTGTAAGATTGGGGTTTAAAGTCTGTTAAAACCACTCTCTGCCGTCCAGTCTGTTTGAACTCATAGTGACCCAACAGGGCAGAGAACTGTCCCATAGGGTTTCCTAGGAAGATAAACCGACGGCCTTGTCTGCCTCCCTTGGACCAGCTGGGGGGTTTGAACCAGCAACCTTTAGGTGAACAGCTGAGCTACTTAACCATGGTATCTCCAGAACTCCATATCCTTACTTTACAGAGGAAGAAGCGAAGGTGCAGGGATGTGCTTGAGGTCACAGAGCAGTTGAGGGGCAGAGCAGGGACAGGAGCCCAGGGACAGGAAGCCTTCATGGCTGTGGACCACGGGCCAGGCACTAGGCAGTGGACTGTCCTGTGTCACTTGAATTCATGTGCAGCAGAGCATTAGTGATCATGGCCAGAGACACTGGTCAGGCATGATGATGCCTCAGAGTCAACTGGACAGTAGGAGAAGTCCTCCAAAATGGATCAGGTGATCGTGACAGAGACTTAACATTCCCATGTAAAAATATTACCAGGGAGAAGCCAGTGCCAGCCACCCTTCTTAACTGTCTCAGGGTTCCCTAAGAAGCAGGCCCATGAGATAGAGAGACACACAGATCCGGTGATGTAGAGTCAGTTCTGACTCATAGCAACCTAATGTACAACAGAATGAAACACTGCCTGGTCCTGCCCAATCCTCACAATGGTTACTATGTTGCAGCCCACTGACTATGTCAGTGCATCGCACTGAGGGTCTTCCCTGACCCTCTGTTTTACCAAGCATATCCTTCCCCAGAGGCTGGTCCCTCCTGAGGACATTGTTCAAAGTAAACAAGATAAAGTCTCACCACTCTCCCTTCTAAGGAGCGTTCTTACTGTACTTTCTCCAAGACAGATTTGTTCATTTTCCTGGCAGTCCATGATCTATCCAGTACTCTTCACCAGCACCATCATTCAAATGCACCGGTTCATCTTTGGTCTTATTCATTATCCAGCTTTTGCAGCATGTGAGGTGATTTAAAATACTATGGCTTGGGTCAAGTTCACCTTAGTCCCCAAAGTGAAGTCTTTGCTTTTGAACACTCTAAAGACGTCTTTTGCAGCAGATTTACCCAATGCAACATGTCATTTGATTTCTTGACACATTGCATAGGTAGATTGATTGATAGATCCATGCATATGTGCATACATACATACATAGTTGATAGATAGGGATTCACTTCAAGGAATTGGTTCATACGACTATGGGGGACTGGTAAGCCCCCCAAATTCATAGGTTAGATGATAGACTGGAGTCTCCCACAGGCTTATGTCTGTCGATCTGGTGATGGAAAGAATACAACATAAGTGAGTGGTGGTTGTATGCCGTGGGGTCGGTTCTGACTCATAGTGACCCCTGTATAGGGTTTCTGAGGAGCGGCTGGTGAGTTTGAACTGCTGACTTGCAGCTTGAGGTTCGCATGCTTATCCTGCAGCACCACACGTAATCACTGAGTAGACATTGAGAAAACAGTGGTGGTGGTGGTTACATGCCGTGGCGTCGGTTCCGACTCATAGCGACCCTGTATAGGGTTTCCAAGGCTGTAAAACTTTACGGGAGCAGAAAGCCTCATCTTAGCATAGCAGTTATGAGTCGGGCTGCGAACCGCAAGGTCAACAGTTTGAAACTACCAGCTGTTCCACGGGAGAAAGATGAGAAAACAGTAACTGTGATACATTGAGTGCTTTCTCTACATCCTGCCCTCCTGACTTCATCTTCACGATGGTCTCAGGGATGGACGAGATCCCCACCTTCTTCCCAGAGTTATAGACGAGGCAGGTGAGGCATTGAGAGAAGGCAGCCTGAGTGGCGAGCAAGGACTTCAGCTGCAGCTTCGGTCCTAGTGCTTATAACCAGACACATTGCACCCCAGGTCTCCCAGCCCTGGAAGAGGACCCTAGTGCTTATAACCTGACA